GAGTGGTGCCCCCTCAGCAGATGGATGTCTCGGAGGCCTTACTCCTGCAGGCATTAGTCCATCCATGTCTTTATGGTCGGCTCTGCTTTGAGAAGGCAGCTCTTCCTCAGTGCTATTTGGAGGGCCTGCTGAGTTGAGGAGCTCATCTTCTGGCCCTCTCTCTGAAAACCTTTTCCTTCTGTTCCCTCGGTATTCGGTAACTGACAATGTTTGGATGCTATCCGTACAGCTTCCAGTGGCTAAGACTTTCAGTATCACAACACACAAGCCACCCCAGTCGGACAAACTGACAGACAAATGGTGGCTTCTGAGTGTAGGATAACTTTTATTTATAATCTAGCACAGATTCGTTTTCACCATTGGGCTGCTAATTGCAAGGTTGGATGGTTGAACCCCCCCAGCCTCTCCACAGGCTGAAGATAAGGCTCCCAGAAAGCTTTAGAGTCGTGGAAGCCTGTGGAGCAGTTCTATTCTGTCTTTTGGCTCTGAGTCGGAATCAACTCCATGGAGATGGTATATATATAGTTCTTATATACATATTGCTTTGTTAAGTCACTTGAAACCCAATATATTTTCATAAGTAGATAAAATATGTATGAAGTTCCTGCTCACAGTCAAGAACTCCCATAATCTATGTGGAAATTGAATAGGCAAGAGGGTATTCTGATGTGGAAATTCAGTAACCTCTGTTTTTAGCAAAACCTGTACTGCAGAAGATGCCATTTCTGCTTGTTATTCTTTTAAAGAGACAATGTATTATTATGAACCAAGAAACCCCACACTGTGGCTGTAGAATTTTAACTCGACACTGTCCCTGGGGCACTGTATGAGCCCAGCAAGCCACCTACTGGGGGAAATGGCTGTACTGAGCCACAGGCTGGTGTTGAAAGTGTGGGACACAGTAGAATCGAGTCAAATATGGGGAAAAGAAATGTTTATTGCCAAATTCTTTTAAATCTTCTTGGATGTAATAAGGAGGAAATAAATCTTGGTTGTAATAAAGAGAAAGGCTCAGTTTAATAGGTCTTAACACTTTTTTAAACAAAGATATTGTCTACTTAAAAGGAAAAAATTGGGGTGGGTGGGAAAGGGGATGTTCAGATGTATAGGATTCTTCATTTTAAACAGTTTAATTGAAGTATACTTGGCATGCAATAAACGGCACATGTTTGAAGTGTACAATTTAAGTTTTGACTTTGTGCACACCTAGGAGGGCATCACTACACTGGAGATAAATTGGCCCATCCATGACCCCATTCCCATGTACCCCTCTGTAGGAAGTATGCAGCTCTTTGAGCAACTGATGGACCCAGCAGCCATCCCCCCCCCCCCCCCCCCCCACCCCCCCCACCCATCATGGGTTTCTGGCATCTCTGGATGCCAGCAGCTCGGGTTTGCAGAGCGCTATCTGAACGTTGCTGTTGATTTGACTGTTCTGAGTTGAGATCATGGGTTCGTGTGTCTCTGGAAAATTACATGGCCTTAGCCTCTTTATATCTCAATTTTCTTATGCACAAATTAGATAAAATTGTAGAATTTACTTCTTATGTCTTTGTTTGGTGGGGAACCAATGAGTTATTCTTGGTGCTAAGGAGCTAGGGTGTTCCGTGTACATCCTTTTAACCCTATACCGCCGAGTGCGACGTTTTTGTAACATTTAATTAAAAAATATATATTAATATATATTGATAATTATGAAAGTAAAGAATAAAACAAAAATATTTTTTCCCTGAAAGTAAAAATTCAGGCATTAGCTCTATATTTTTGTGCAATTTTACTTAAATTACTATTGTCAGTGGAGGCTAACTCCTGCCATGCAGGGATGATTTTTGTCCTTTCTG